CAGCCCTGAGGCCAAGGCATATTCCCAGCTCTCCTTAGCATCAGTTTCCTTGAGCTACACACACTAAATTCTTCAAACTTCACCTCATTCAATCATTTTTATGGCTCTTGTCCATATTTTGTCCAACTTGAACAAATACAAGTAATCTTGTATGGATGAAAAATGTCAAGTCTTTAAGTCATCTTGCATCAGCAACTACAAGATATAAATAGCCAAAGGCTCACTGTATCCTCCAGTATGGGTGCACATGCTTACACACACACACACACACACACACACACACAGGACTATCATCTGTTTCATGGACATAGTTAAAATTCTAAAGGCATTCAGGTTGTCTTGATTCTACCCAAGTAGGAATTCAAAGAGAATCCTGAGTTCCTTCTCCCCAATCTTATCCAAACATTTTATTTATTTATTTTTAATTTATTTAAATTCAAGTTACTTAACATACAGTGTTGTATTGGTTTCAGGAGTAGAACCCAGTGATTCATCACTTATATAAAACATCCAGTGCTCATCCCAACAAGTCCTTCTTAATGCTCATCACCCATTTAGCCCATCCCCCCACCCATCTCCCCTCCAGCAACCCTCAATTTGTTCTCTATAGTTCAGAGTCTCTTATGATTTGCCTCCCTCTCTGCTTTTATCTTATTTTTCCTTTCCTTCCCCTATGTTCACATGTTTTGTATTTCTCAAATCCCACATATGAGTGAAATCATAGCATATTTGTCTTTCTTTAATGACTTATTTCACTTAGCATAATACACTATATAGTTCAATCCACACTGTTGCAAATGGCAAGATTTCATTCATTTTGGTTGCCAAGTAATATTCTATAGTGTGTGTATATATAAAACACATCTTTTTAAATAAATTTTTAAATGTTTATTTACTTTTGAGAGAGGGAGAGACACAGAGCATGAGTGGAGGGAGGGGCAGAGAGAGGGAGACACAGAATCTGAAGCAGGCTCCACGCTCTGAGTTGTCAGCACAGAGCCTGATGCAGGGCTCGACCTCACAAACCGTGAGATCATGACCTAAGCCAAAATGGGATGCTCAACCGATTGAGCCACCCAGGCACCCCTCAAATCTTATTAAGTTTATTTATTTATTTTGCAAGAGAGAAGAGAGAGTCCCAAGCAAACTCTGTGCTGTCAGCTAGGAGCCTGATGCAGAGCTTTAACTCATAAACCATGAGATCATGACCTGAGCTGAAACCAAGAGTCAGACAATCAACCAACTGAGCCACCCGGGTGCCCCCACATCTTTTTTATCTATTCATAAGTCTATGGACATTTAGGCTCTAATTTGGCTATTGTTGATAGTGCTGCCATAAACGTTGGGGTGCATATGCCCCCTTCAAATCAGCATTTTTGTATCCCTTGGATAAATAGCTAGTAGTGCAATAGTAGTGTAGCTTAGTTCTATTTTCAATTTTTTTAAAAAACCTCCATATTCTTCTCCAGAGTGGATGCACCAGTTTGCATTCCCACCAATAGTGCCAAAGGGTTTCCCTTTCTCCGCATCCACGGCAACATCTGTTGTTTCCTGCGTTGTTAATTTCAGCCATTCTTAAAGGTGTGAGGTGGTATCTCATCGCAGTTTGGATTTGTATTTCCCTGATTATGAGTTTATCCAAACATCTTAATTATATTTTGGAAGCTCATCCAGGGATTAGTTAAAGATGGCCAAGTGGATAATAGATGTGTTTATTGCTTATTACCAAGCCTAAGTTTGCTCCATTAAAATGTATTGAATGGGAGCATGTCCAGGCTGAGTAGTGCTCAGAGTCCTGTGTGAGAAAAGAAGCTAGGCATTCTGCTGTTGTCCTCTCTTGGACAGAGGCCTGACCTGTAAGTTTCTCTGAGACGGATGGACTGAATCCAGTATTATCTAAATGTCAGATGGGATCATTCTGGAAAGTAGGCCCTTTAGCTCTGCTAGGGAGAGGAGGTTGAATTCACTGTCAAAACTTGCACACATTCCATTACCTCTTCCTTCAAAGGAAACTTCAGAGGTGAGAAAGGAGGTACCAAAGTGGCTTCCAGCAATAGGGAGGGCACAAATATCCCTGGCATCTGTGGCATTGACAATGAGCCTCTGTGACACTGACAGCAGCCCAGCTCTTTTTTTGTTGGTTTTGGCTGTGAGTTCTCTTAGGCATAAATCATTGCTACCTGGGTCGACTGTGCATTTTAGCACTTTCAGATGCTATATATTTCAAATGATTTTATTCCAGTGACGAGGGGTAGAGTAAGCAACTATTTATAGGACAGAAGCTGTGAAGAGGTGCCCACTTAGGTTCTTTCTGGCACACACACACACCCACAGCCCTGCAGGTAAAGATACAAAGCTGTCCATATGAGCCAGCAAGGCTTTGTTCTTATTTGTCCCCTTAAAGTATGTGCACTTAGTATGACAGCTTTTTCTTTCCATTTGCTTCTGAGTCCTGGGGTGGGGGGGGAATCATAAATTTATCTTTCTTTTTTAAAAAATTTTTATAATGTTTATTTATTTTTGAGAGACAGAGCACAGGCAGGGGACGAACAGTGATAGAGGAAGACACAGAATCTGAAGCAGGCTCCAGGCTCTGAGCTGTCAGCACAGAATCCCATGCAGGGCTCAAACTCATGAACCATGAGATCATGACTTGGCCAAAGTCATATGCTTAGCCAACGGAGCCACCCAGGTGTCTCTATCTATCTATCTATCTATCTATCTATCTATCTATCTATCTATGAAAGCTGGTAATAATTTTTTTCTTTCATTTCAATTGATAGATACAATGGGTATAAAGGAAAACACTGTTAATCCTATTTCATCAAAAGCAATATAAGACACTTTTGGTCAAAGAAAATTAGAAGTACCTGGGTGGCTCAGTTGGTTAAGCATCTTACTTCAGCTCAGGTCATGATCTCATGGTTCATGGGTTTGAGCCCTCTGTAGGACTCTGTGCTGACAGCTCAAAGCCTGGAATCTGCTTTGGATTCTGTGTCTGTCTGTCTGTCTGTCTCTCTCTCTCAAAAATGAATGAACTTTTTAAAAAAAATTTTTAAAAAGAAGAAAATTATCAGCTACTGCTTAGCACTGTGTGGTAACTGGCAATATGTGTTCCTGGGGAGATGTAATTACCACTACTGCTATTGTGCTTCAGGCCAGACCTTTCCAAGAGAACATTTAAAGAGCTATGTGTTTTTTCTGCCCCCACGTAAAGAGGTCTACAGATGCCTCCCATATAATGTGTTATAGATGGTAACTCCATCACATACAATCTGGACATGGGGTGGGACCATCCATGTGCAGATGTCCACTCAGCCCAGAGCTGGGGAGAGAGACCAGATGGCTACTGGGAAGCTTCCTGCCTCTCCTGATGCTCTAAATACACCCAGATGGAAATGCACTAGCAAACTTTCATGCTAGTTTCTCTGGACATATCCATTAATGAATAATTGTCCTTCCTTCAGGCAGGGTATTTGTTTCCTGTGGCTGCTGTAAGAAAAGAACAAATTGTTTTTTAGTGACTTAAAAGAACAGAAATGTATTCTCTCACAGTCCTGGAGGCCAGAAGTCTGAAATCAAGGTGCCAGCAGGGTCATACTCCCTCTGAAGGCCGTAGGGGATAATCCTTCCTTGCCTCTTTCAGTTTCAAATAGTCCCAGACATTCCTTGGCTTGTAGCAACATAACTCCAATCTCTGCCTCCATATTCATGAGTCTTTCTCCTCTGTGTCTCTGTGTCTCAAACCTCCTTCTCCTTTCTCTCATAAGGGACATCAATCATTGGATTCAGGGCCCACCCCAAGTGCAAGATGATCTCAACTTAACTCACTAACCTCCCCCAAGTCCCTGTTAACCTTAAAAATAAAACCACCAACCATAGGCAAGTCTGCACAACAAAGTAGAGGAACACTTTTTTTAATGTTTATTTATTTTTGAGAGAGATAGAGGATGAGCGGGCCAAGGGCAGAGAGAGATGGAGACACAGAATCCAAAGCAAGGTCCAGGCTCTGATTTGTCAGCACAGAGCCCAATGCAGGGCTCTCACAAACTGTGAGATCATGACCTGAGCTGAAGTCGGATGTCCAACCACCTGAGCCACCCCGCACCTTGAGGAACACTCTTTTATATCAAAAAGGCCATTGTAACAAACTGGGAGTTCAAAGTGTAGTGGCCTTTCTTTGGCGAGTTGTGACCATTTCTCATTGGCTGGGCTGTTGCCAAGGGAGGAAGAAAGCCTGTCTTCCTCCTGCTGCAGTGGTGAAGTAATACCTGCATGCAAGATTCATCTCTTCCTGTTGGGCCTGCTGTTGACAAATGGTAGGGCATGAGAGTTCCCCTTGCTGGCCTCCCAGACTCCATTCTAAACAAGATTTCCTTTTATTAATTTTCACAAACCTATGTCCACATAAGTTCACCTTCACAGATACAGAGTGTTAGAACTTGGACATATCTTTTGCAGGTACACAATTCAACGCACTACAGGCAGCATATACAAGATTTCTTGTGGCACGTCGACTCATTACAAACTGCAGCCATCCCAAGAGCACTTTCTTTTACTTTTATTTGTGCCTTGGGGACCAGGACCAAAGACAAGAACTGCAATGAAAACATGGGCCATGCTCAGCTAACAACATGGGTTTGAGCCCTGTGTCGGGCTCCATGCTGACAGTGTGTAGCCTGCCTGGGATTCTCTCTCCCTCTCTCTGCCTCTCCCCTGCTTATTCTCTCTCTCAAATTAAATAAATAAACTTAAAACATATGCACAGTTGACCCTTAAACAACATAGGGGTTGGGGTGCCATTCCCCCCTGGCAGTTGAAAATTTACTTATAACTTTTGACTCCCCCCAAACTTAACTACTAATAGCCTACTGTTGACTGGAAGCCTTATCAATAACATAAACACATATTTTGTATGATATATATATTATACACCATATGCTTATAATGAAGGAAGCTAAAGAAAAGCAAACATTAAGAAACTCAAAGAGGAGAAAATACATTTATAGTACTGTATTCATTAAAAGCAATCCATGTATAAGTGGACATGTGCAGCTCAAACCCATGTTGTTTGAGGGTCAGCTGTATTTGGAGGCAGAAGAGTCAACCAGATTGGCTGGATGGTTAGATGTGGCAGAGGGGCAGAGGTTGGAAAGACAGAAGTCACATGCAGAGCTTCTACCCTCCAGGAGCTTCCAGAATGCTTGAGGGACATAGCCTGTAAATGTAAACCTCAACATCAGTGTAGTTGAAGGAGCCTGGTATTCAAATCAGCCAAACTTGCCTTGAGTCCCTGTCATACCATTGATTAGCCACACAACAGAGATAGACCACTTGAACACACTGCATTTCAGTCTTATGACCTTATAGGTGGTTATGAGCTTACATGTTATGTGGCACCTAAGAAACGTTCTATAAATATTAGTGAATATTTCTATAGAATAATAATTATAAGTATTGCTCCAACACTGGGAAGATAATACCAGTTATTGTGTAAAACAGTTAAAACCAAATATGGCTTAATAGAGGCTAAAATAGATATTAAAGGATATTTTTGCTCTTAAAAGATTCTGAGGGGGCCTCCTGGGTGGCTCAGTTGGTTAAGCATCCGACTTTGGCTCAGGTCATGATTTCACGGTTAGTGGGTTCGAGCCCCGCATCGGGCTCTGTGCTGACAGCTCAGAGCCTGAGGCCTATTTCAGATTCTGTGTCCCCTTCTCTCTCTGCCCCTTCCCCACTCACACTCTGCCTCTGTCTCAAAAATAAGTAAACATTTAAAAAAAAAGATTCTGAGGAAGAGACAACCTGTTCTAGTATGCAATTAGGAAAACAAGTAGAAATATGTATCATGTTTCTAAATATATTAGGGCAACGGTTTCCACGCTCCCCGGAGTAACATTTTATCCCTATGATGGTCAGGAAGTTCTTCCACATACCCGACTGCAATCCCTCTTGCTTTATTTTAGCCTGTCTGCTTTTGCCTGGTTCCGTTAGGTTTCTTCCTGCTGTTCCAAGTGTAGTTATTCTCTTGTCAGGCAGTGGTTTATCAATATTGTCTCAGACGTTTTTGTGCTGGGGCTTTAACTTTATTGCTCTAATTTCTTAGTTCTGCCTCAAGAATATGTTGATTTATTTCCTGGAACTGATGTTGTCTTTTCTATACACCTTGATCATCACTTTTCTTTCTTTTTTAATAATATTTATTGTCAAGTTGGCTAATCTACAGTGTATACAGTGTGCTCTTGGTTTTGGGGGTAGATTCCGGTAATTCATCACTTACATACAACACCCAGTGCTCATCCCAACAAGTGCCCTCCTCAATGTATCACTTTTCCATGTAGACAAAATATTTACAAATTCTTTTTTCAAAAATGTTCCCTTCTCTGATGGAAATGTTTTTTAATTATATAGTAACAATTGTTGCACAACATAATACATATACTAAAACCCACTGAACTGTGTACTTTATTTTTCTTAATTTTTATTTATTTCTCAGAGAGGGAGAGAGAGAGAGGGAGAGAGAGAGAGAGAGAGAGAATGAGCAGGGGAGGGGCAGAGAGAGAGGGAGACAGAATCTGAAGCAGCCCCCAGGCTCTGAGCTGTCAGCACAGAGCCTGATGTGGGGCTCAAATCCATGGGCAGTGAGATCATGACCTGAACTGAAGTAGGACACTTAACCGACTGAGCCACCCAGGCACCCCTGAATCATGCACCTTAAAATAGCAGATTTTATGTTACGTGACTTATATCTCAGTAAAGTAAAATAAAAAATAAAATGTTTTGTTGTAAAAAAAAAAAGTTCTCTTCTTCTATCTTTTTGGTGGCTTAACTTGAATGGCTTGTATTTGCATATAAAACATTGCCCTAGTCAGGGGCGCCTGGGTGGCTCAGTTGGTTAAGTGTCCAACTTCAGCTCAGGTCATGATCTCATGGTCCATGAGCTGGAGCCTCTTGTAGGGACTGTGCTGACAGCTCAGAGCCTGGAGCCTGCTTTGGATTCTGTGTCTCCCTCTCTCTTTCTCTGCCCCTCCTCCCCTCAAAAATAAACATTAAAATTTTAAAACAAGAGGGGCGCCTGGGTGGCTCAGTCAGTTGAGCGTCTGACTTCGGCTCAAGTCATGATCTCAGTTTGTGGGTTTGAGCCCCGCGTCGGGCTCTGTGCTGATGGCCAGCTCGGAGCCTGGACCCTGTTTTAGATTTTGTATCTCCTTCTCTCTCTGACCCTCCCCTGTTCACGCTGTCTCTCTCTCTCTCAAAAATAAATAAAACATTAAAAATTTTTGTTTAAACAAGAAAACAAACAAACAAACAAACAAACAAAACAAACAAAACATTGCCCAAGCCAGCATCAAACAGTTTCAGGGTAGCCATTCTAGATCCCTGATATACAGAAATGTTCAGCCTGACTTTATAGATGGGAGTCTGAGGCAAAGAGAGGGCCCAATTGACCCAGAGTCACACAGCTGCCAGACACCTGCACAGAATTGATCAATCTGGTGGATGCAGGCAAACCAAATTTGTCAATTTCTGATTTTTGAGTTTTCCCCAGCCTCCTTCTTCAGGGGTTCCCACAGCCAGCCCTCGCTCTCTTTTATTTTTCCTTCTGATAAAATTTTCTTTTGGAAAGGATCTAGTCTACTTTCTGTGTATTTCAGAGCAAGTGCTACAATTCTCTAGGAGATTTTTCTTTAAATCCTTATCTGTATTTAGTAACCAGAAGGCATTGTTCCATATAGTGAAAAGCAGGCACTGACAAGTTGTTAGGGCAGCTCAGGGAGGGAATGTTCTGTGTCCTCACCAGAGTTCTAGTGTTGCCATATCACTCCATCAATTCTGTATCTACCTAAAGCCAACTGTATATCTGAGTAATGACACTGTTCTTCCCTCCAGCTGTCAATGGAGTTGACTCTGAGGCTGCACTGTATGTGAGGCTGTATGGGGCAGACAGACCCAGTTTCTGACCTGAGCCTGTTCACAAATTGCTGGCAAACCTTGGGTGGACTATATTGAGTCTCAGTATCCTTGTCTACAGTCTGGCCACAGTAATCCTTATTTTTTTAATTAAAAAAAGATTTTTTTAAATGTTTATTTTTCAGAGAGAGAGAGAGTGCAAGGAAGGGACAGAGAGAGACACACACACACAGAATTCAAAGCAAGCTCCAGGCTCTGAACTGTCAGCACAGAGCCCGATGCAGCACTGGAACTCATGAACTGTGAGATCATGATGCCCCAGCAATCCCTATTTTATATGATTGAATGGAAGCAAGTGTAGAGTTTCTAGTCCAGTATAGCGCTCAGATCCCTGGGTCTTGTAAATCTCTTTTTCACCTGTTTCTAAGTCAAAACCCCTGATCATGACCCATGTTTTCATTTCAGTTCCTGTCTTCGGTCCTGGTCCCCAAGGCACAAATAAAAGAAAAAAAAAAGTGCTCTTGGGATGGCTGCAGTTTGTAATGAGTCGACGTGCCACAAGAAATCTTGTATATGCTGCCTGTAGTGCGTTGAATTGTGTACCTGCAAAAGATATGTCCAAGTTCTAACTCTCTGTATCTGTGAAGGTGAACTTATGTGGACATAGGTTTGTGAAAATTAATAAAAGGAAATCTTGTTTAGAATGGAGTCTGGGAGGCCAGCAAGGGGAACTCTCATGCCCTACCATTTGTCAACAGCAGGCCCAACAGGAAGAGATGAATCTTGCATGCAGATGTTACTTTACCACTGCAGCAGGAGGAAGATAGGCTTTCTTCCTCCCTTGGCAACAGCCCAACCAATGAGAAACGGTCACAACTCGCCAAAGAAAGGCCACTACACTTTGAACTCCCAGTTTGTTACAATGGCCTTTTTGATATAAAAGAGTGTTCCTGAGATCTGAGCTGTTAGCTCAGAGCCCAACGTGGGGGTTGAACTCATGAACCGTGAGATCATGACCTGAGCTGAAGTAGGCCGCTCAACCGACTGAGCCACCTAAGCACCTCAAAGAGCAAACCACTTTTAATCACAGATGTCTCACTTCTGTATTGTGTTAAATTTTCAAGTTGATTTTGCATTTACTGTGTAATTTGATCCTCCCAACAAGGGTTAGTGTTGCTCACAGGAGGTAGGATAAGAATTACCAGTCCTGAATGACAGTGGATGATGCTAGAACCAAGTAGGCAAGGGACTTCTCTGTGCCTTCACAGTTAGTTGGCACAGAACTCCCATGCTGACCCACATTTCCTCCTGCTGATCTAGTGCATTTCCCTTTTCATAACGCTACCACCAAACCCAGCCAAACACAGCATCCAAATAAGTTTTTAGCTGGGTAGAAAAGAGGCATACACATGTTTTAGAATATCAAGCCACATGCCAAACCAATGCTATTCTCCTGGAAAGAAATGAACTAGCACTCCTGTATTTCTGCCATTGTACAGTATAGGATAACTCAGGAGGTCTGGATTGTGCACATCCTGAAAACCCCAAAGAAAGGTTTAACCCTTGCCCAGCTCCTTGGAGAGAACCTCTAAGCCCTTGGAATATTCTGCTTGTTAAGAGTATCTTTTTTTTTTTTTTTTTATGAACAAGGAACATTTAAAGAATTATTAACTAGTAACAAGATGATGCTACTAAAGAGTAAAGAGAACTATTTTTAAACAATACAATAATAGCAGATGGGGGAGCAGCTAATACATCTAGGACCAGGATAGAGTACCCAAGAAAGGACCCAACTGAGAAGAGGCTCCTCCCACCCCCATCCCAAGGCTCTTCATGGCACCCTGGGTGGAGAGGGTATAGCTGTGGCCCACTGGCTGGCAGAGTTAGATGAGGTCAGGCCAGAGCTGGCAAGCAGGAGGTTATCTGCTAGGGTTCCAGGGAGCCTTGCTGGGAAGCCACCTTTGGGGCAATGGTGAGACTTAATACCACTGCAACTTGAGCACCACTTGATGTCCTGCACGCCAGCCAAAATCTCACAAGCACCACTGCAGTGAGAAGGATCCTGTAGAGGCCTGTTCCCCTTGCAGAGTCCCTCCAGTGCCCTCTGCTGACAAAGATCAGCATTGTGGCTGCTGGCAAAGAAGTGTTTTCAGGGTTGAGGGAGAAGAGTGATTTAAAGCATATCATGCAGTTTAAACTTATAATACTTAGTAGAGTACATATTAGCTATTTAAAATCTAGAGAGAGAAGTATATGACCTAATATATATTTGCATATAATTTACATATATATAAGAACATTTGATCTGTAATTTTAAGTGTCTTTGATCTGAGGCCGTGGCCACACCAAATGGTTTATGACAACAGTGTGATTTATGGTGGAGGCCTTGGGCCATATGGTATCATTTTGACCTCTGGGGGGCTGGAGACTGAGCAGCTAAGGTCAATCACAGGGGCATCCCATGACTATATGACTGGCCCTCTGTAAAAGCCCTGTACACTAAGGCTTCAGTGAGTTTCCCTAGTTGACAATACTAATACTCCACACATGTTGTCACATATCATTGCTGAGAGAACTAACCACTGTCCATATGACTCCACTGGGAGAAAACGGCTAGAAGCTCACACCTGGTCTTTTCTGAACTCTGTACTATGAGCCTTTTTCCATTGCTGATTTTAATCTGTATCTTTTCACTATAATGATCCACAACCATGCATATAATAGCATATATATGCATATAATAGCTTTACTGAGTTCCATGATTCCTTCTAATGAATCACTGAACCTAAGAGTGGTCTTATGGATTCCAAATTAGAACTGTGATTATGGTCAAGGTCACTTATAAAGTCAGACTGTCATTCACTTGTCAAAACTTCAGATATTCATACACTCACTACTGCCCTCACCATCCATACAAATCCAGTAATCTAGGACATACCTTTTACCCAGGGTTCACACTGCAGAACTCAGAGAGTATCTGTCTTCTCACTGTGCCCCATGTGCCCATGTCTCCCTTTCCTTTCCACAACCCCGCTGTGGCCTTCCCAAGAGGCATCTCCATCTCGCCACTTAATCATGGACCTGTCTCCTGTGGTAGCCTGGCCAAAATAAGGAGACAGTGTCACTATTAAGAAGCTGGTTCTGGGGCGCCTGGGTGGCTTAGTCGGTTAAGCGTCCGACTTTCGCTTAGGTCATGATCTCGCGGTTTGTGGGTTCGAGCCCCGCGTCGGGATCTGTGCTGACTGCCAGCTCAGAGCCTGGAGCCTGTTTCAGTCTGTGACTCNAAATAGAAAATAAAAAAAAAAAAGTGTTTGCCCTCAGGGAGCTTATATTGTAGGAATGGGAAGTGGACAGAAACAGAAAGTAAATTAGATAAACACACAATAGAATTTCAGATATCAAGTGCTATCATTCACTGAATATTACTAAAGTACAAAAACAGGGACGCCTGGGTGGCTTAGTCGGTTAAGCGTCCGACTTTCGCTTAGGTCATGATCTCGCGGTTTGTGGGTTCGAGCCCCGCGTCGGGATCTGTGCTGACTGCCAGCTCAGAGCCTGGAGCCTGTTTCAGTCTGTGACTCCTTCTCTCTCTGACCCTCCCCTGCTCACACTGTCTCTCTCTCTCTCTCCTAGAAATAAATAAAAATATTAAAAAAAAAAAAAAAAGAAGCTGGTTCTAAGAGGGGCACTGGCCTCCATACCTGGTGACACATGGCTACTGCTGACCTGTGGACAGCTGATCTGCAGTCTCATTAGCCCCTTTCCAAGCTGCAGCACAGCCTGGTCACCATCTGTCTCATTAACTCCTAGAGCACAGCCTGGGACCTTTAGGGAACATGCTTCATTCCAGAGTTGGCCTTCTTCCTCACTAGATTGGCTATTAAACCTTTTCTGTCTCTATTCCCAGCCCTGGATTCTTAATATTGGTGGTCTTCCCCTCTTCATCAGCACCCACATATTATCACTGGTAAATGTTAATTCCGATGTGGTTCATTTACCAACACGTCATTGAGAAGTTACATCTGAGTGTCCTGGCCAGACCCTGGGGCTGATCCTCTTCTTGTTTATTTCATGGTGCCTGCCTGCCTCCTTAGTTCGATCTCCTTTCACTTGAGATTGCAGAGCATATTGGCCTGGTTTCCCACTGCTTGTGTCTTCAAATTGCCCTTGGTCTGGTGGACCTAAAATAGGAATTGGCACATGTTTCCACATTTCTGAAGAGAGAATAGAACCAAAATGTAAAAGATCTTGAGATTCTTCTTCACAACCATCCCATGAAGCTGTTGTGTTTATCCTAATATTTTTAGAAGGGCAAGCCCCAAGACTCAGGTTAAATAATTTGTACCATGTGACACGTAAATGACAGAGCTGGGATTCAAGTCCAGACCCCAAGTGCTCAAATGCCAGACTATTTCTGACCTGCACTATTGCCTCTCACAGAAACTAACTTTTGTGGGCTTCTCCATCTAGCTATGTGGCCTAGTGCAGGAGGAAAATAGATTCTGGGTCCAGGTGACCATGGGGTTTTAGACCTCTCCCTCCTACGGTGGCCCTTAAGGACTTTCCTAAGAAACAGCCAATCCCCATCTCCTTTTCAACCCCACAGAAGTTTTCTCACATTGTACTACTGTCACAAAAATGTATATCAGGCTCACCGGGTATCATATCAGATTACCTGACAGGTTGGGCGTTGACTTATTCATCTTGGTGTCTTCAGCTCCTGGCATTATGCCCACACACTGCAGATGCTCAATAATGAATCCAATAATGAACTAATTTGAATTACTCCTAGAATGTTCCAGAAGCAGGTGTAACTGTAATAGATGATTCAAGAATTTGGGGAACTAGTAGAGTTTTAGAGGTTCTCATCCCAGGTTGTCCAATGTTTGGGGCACTTTAATCTCTTTGAGCCTTGAGGTTCTCATCTATAAATTCTGATCTCAGAGTGCTGTCATGAGAATTAAAGGGAGGAAGAAGTTATAAGAAAAAAACACTCATGGCAATGTCCAGCAGAAATTGGGTACTCAACCAAGTGAATGCTCCTTTTCTCCTTCCTCGCTCTGAATGCTAATTTAGGGGGTGCCCTTGGAGGGTAGAAGTCCTTTAAAATCCTAGTAATTCTAGGGATTTAGAGGTTCCTTGGGTCTCCATTATCCTTTGACTGTAAGGTCAGTAGCCTGAAGCCATTAATGATTCACTTTTTAGTCTTAATAAACTAATAGATCATCTCCCCCCCCTCAAATTATCTAGTAACACATCTTTTACTCTTTGGGTCAAATGGATAGAGAAGCCCTATCTGTGCATGTTAGCTATGTAGAGGAGGCTACAGGAAGGAAATAGAAATCTGCAAATTGTCTGCAGAGTTCAGTCGACAGCTGACTGTCTCTCCCCCCATCCCGAGTGATTGAGAGAGTTCTCAGAACACCAAATTCTGTTCTAGCCTAGGTACTGATTGCTCTTGATGGGAGGGTACTTCCTAATTCTAGAGTCCCACAGAAGGAACTAGATACCAAGCTAAGATTGGAGAGCTCAGATCCATTCTTACTCTGGGACTTTACAGAAGTCCCTAAAATTACCTCTGGTGGGATCTACCCTCCAGTATGTAAAATGGGGTAAAATACCCATACCTACTTGCCTCAGCAAATCATAGGGTTATAGTGAAAACAACAGTATAACACATGTTAACACAAATGACTAAAGTGCTATACAAACGCAAGGTATTTTCTCAAGATTCTGTAGTAGCTGTTTTAGAACAGAATAAAACATGTGATTATCACTCAAAAAAAATTAAAAAACAAAAATCTAACAGGTGCTCTAGAGATCGTAAGGAACCAGGGCAGGGTCCCTTCACTGTAGGACAGGTGTCAAGTTGCAGAGAACAATGAGCAAGCCCAAACAAGCTCACATACAGCAGGAGCATCCAGTGATGAAGGCTGAATGCTCAGTCCACATCTTAGGAAATGCAGAACTTCAGAAGAAAAGGAATTGTCAGTCGGGTCAGGGATAAATGGGAAGGCAAGAAGTAGAGAAAAAGGCACTCCCGGTAAGAGATGTTTGCTGAGTGACTAAGCAGATGAGGTGTGGCATGAGTAAGGGGAAGGGGTGAAACAGCATACTGGGTGGCCTTTCTGGCAGGTGCCAGGAGTATATTGTACTTGACAAGGGACTATAGCTTATGATGACTTTATCCTTAGGCAAGTGAGTGGCTGTTGCTATAGGAGCAGGAATGCACCCATGGACAGTGTCAGGACAACTCTTCTTAGGCTGTTCTTGCCTTAAACAAAGGCTCAGGGAACTGGTTGGCTCAGTCAGAAACGCATATGATTCTTGATCTCAGGGTCATGAGTTCAAGCTCCACAATGGGTGTAGAGATTACTTAAAAAAATAAAATAAAATAAACGTTCTTTAAAAGTCTTTATAGGGGCACCTGGGTGGCTCAGTCGGTTGAGTGTCTGACTTTGACTCAGGTCATGATCTCACGGTTCATGAGTTTGAGCCCCACGTTGGGCTCTGTGCTGACAGCTCGGAGCCTGGAGTCTGCTTCAGATTCTGTGTCTCCCTCTCTCTCTGCCCCCTCCCCAACTCATGCTCTGTCTCTCTCTCTGTCTCTCAAAAATAAGTAAATTTTTTTTTCAAAAGGTTCTCAAGAAAAAAAAAAGGCTCTCAAACCTCCAAGGACAAAAGAGAGCTTAGTCACCAGTGGGACAGAGATCTGTCTGCAGATACAGCTGAGGCATAGACACAATAGGAAAAAGTCTTTTCTAATTGCAAGACTTTGTTATATTTGCTGCACTTTGTCTGTTAATTTACTTTCAACAAGAGTAGAAAGACAGATGGGACTTCGGGACAGTGTGAGGAGCTCAGTGGACTCTCACGCCTCAAAATAATTAACTGATCAAAATATAAAACACAACCATTTAAATTTCTGTAAAGCAAGGTGCCTGAGTGGCTTAATCAGTTAAGCATCTGACTCTTGATTTTGGCTCAGGTCATTATCTCACACTCATGAGTTTGAGCCCCACGTTGAGCTCTGCACTGGCATCTTGGAGCCTGGTTAAGATCCTCTCTCTCCCTCTCTCCCTGCCTCTCCCCTGCTCACACTGTTTTTCTCTCCCTCCCTCTCTCAAAATAAATAAACATTAAAAAATGTTTTAAACTTCTAGAAAGCAAATGATCTAAGATAACACAGCAAATTGAGAATTTATTCAAGAAAATCTAATAAATAAAATCTAATAAATTTAGAACAGCAGGAGTCTGTGGCTTTTGCACTAGAACCTGCTTTCCTACCTCCCCATTAACTCCCCCTGCCAGCTCCATGTTACAAAAGCTCTAACTCCTAGAAAGTCCAGCCAAGAAGATGGGGGCTCCCTTTACTCATCACTCCCAGTTTTAGGGTTATAGTTTCACCCCAAGAAGGGTGAGTCACAGGCATCTCTCACCTGCTTCCACCACCCAACCACCAGCTCTGTATTATAGAAGCTCTATTCCATGGCAGAGATCAGGGCTTCCTTCCCCCTCCCACTTCCACTCAGTGGTGAGGGATCAGAAGGTAAGCTGACACCCCACAAACCCCCTCCCTACCCCAGGTGGGATATATGTGACATTCCTCAGGCATTCCCAGCTTCCCAAGAACAAAGGAAGGGGAAAAACCAATGGTTAACTGATAGAGATCACAGTCATGCAGGGCATGAGTCTCCATCAGTTTATAAGTGTCTTCATAAATTACAAGAAAAAGGCAATCTTACCAAAAGCCTAATCTCCAGAAACCTATAAACTGTTTCATGGAGCCCCAATATCACCCTCTTCTGCATAAGGATGTAGAGAACAAAGGCAAGAAGGAAATGATAGGCAAAAGTAAATTTTCCTGGAGCACTTGGGTGGCTCAGTCTGTTGGGTGACCAACACTTGATCGTGGCTCAGGTCATGATCTCAGTTCATAAAATCGAGCCCTGACTGGACTCTGCACTGACAGCAAGGAGCCTGCTTGGAATTCTGTCTCTCCCTCTGGGCCCCTCCCCCACTCGTGCTAATGCTCTCCTTCTCTCTCAAAATAAATAAATAAACTTAAAAAAATAAATCTCTGGGTGCCTGGGTGGCTCAGTCAGTTAAGCATCCAACTTTGGTTCTGGTCATGATTTCACAGTTCTTGAGTTCAAGCCCTGCATCAGGCTCTGCACTGACAGCTCAGAGCCTGGAGCCTGCTTCAGATTCTGTGTCTCCCTCTCTCTCTGCCCCTGTCCCACTTGTTCATTCTCTCTCTCTCTCAAAAATAAACATTAAAGCCAAGGGGCAAGATGGCGGAGAAGTAAGGAACTCCATACATTGCACTCACTCCCATATCTCACACAGAGAAGACCTGAGGCCATAGGAGCCCTTACAGAATCCAGGAGTTTGGAAGGAAAAGGAGACAGAGTCGGCTGAGAAAAGCTTCTAACGTGAGTGGGAACTGGGGAAGATAAAATCGGGCCAGGACCAGAGACACAGAGGGACGGGGGCGATTCCCCTCTGCGGGGAGTTTAGAGGGGAAAGAGAGTGGCCGAAACTGCTCAAGACACTGTCCCTGTCGCTGGGGAACAGAAAAACCTCCGCTCAGGACACAGAGGGACCTGGTTTCCTGCTCTCCAGCTGACCCTAGGCGGGATGCACTCGTCCCAGGCGACCCCCAGGGAAATTGCTCCCCCCTTGTCAGCACGACCTGGAGGGGATGTGCGGCAGCCACGCCTTTGTGCTTCTGGCTCGGCTGGATCCCTAGAGGGGAGGCGAAGGGCTTAAAACTGGGAGATTTCCCCGCGAGTTTGTGTTTCGGGCGACGAAACACAGAGGGACCCAGTTTCCTGCCCTCCAGCTGATCCTAGATGGGACGCACTCGTCCCAGGCGACCCCCAGATGAAACTGCTCCTCGCTTGCCAACCCGACCTGGAGAAGACGGGAGCAGCGACTTCTGGCTCGTTCCCCAGGGGGTAGGCAAGAGGCTCGGGACTGCCCTGAGGGGATTGCCTGCGAGTTTGTGCTTCCGGCAATTTCAGTGGGGCGCACAGACTGAGATCTGGAAATGCGGCCCACACTGGGATATAGAGCATGGCCCACCTTGGCTGCGCCCCCGGTACAGGGAGTTTACACACCCAAAAAAGTGAGTTGCAGCGCTTGGTTCAAGAAGGGACTAGAGTGCCGTCACTCTTCTCCCCACAACCGCCAAGGCAGAACTCCCACCGGCCTCATAGGATCAAACCACGCCCATCACTGCTAGAGAGCTGCCCTCCTCCTTCCCCCCCGCCCCCCCCCCACCGGAGCCAGGGCAAGACCAATTCTGGTCACTGGCTTACTTGAACAGTCAAATTTAATTCATTCTCTAGATGTAAATTCTACAACTACCTACCTTTTCATCTCTTTCTCTCTGGAGTAATCAGACTAAATAGTTTCTCTAGATAACACCATCCTCATTTCTTTTGCCTCTTCAAACATATTGCACTCTTTCGCTCTTTGAAAAACACTTCTTATTCCTTCTGCCTGCTCATTTCATTTCCAATTTTGCCTCATCCCTGCCGTGTCATTTCTCTCTTTCTTTATGCTGTTCAACCAGCACTGCATACACCTGGCTATTTATTTGTAGCTGGGAAATCTGGTTATACATGCTTTAAACTGTTCTTTGCCCATTGGGTTTCTTCTTTTTTCCTTTTCTTCTTTTTTAATTTTTTTATGTATTTTTATTTTTTATTCTTTGCCTACCCTTCTCCCTCTTTCTCTTTACTTTTTCCTTTTCCCTTTCGGTTTGTGTGTTTGTTGGATTTGTCTGTGCGTTTGTGTGCCTTTGTTCCCTGTGTGTTTGTCTGTTTTCTTTTCCAGGGCTACCTCAAGAAACTAGCCAAAGGACACATGGTGGAGAGTCCCAAATACCACTACAAGTAGGAAAATAAAATAACCAAGGTCTCAACAAGAGAGCCCAAGAGA